CCATCTACTCTTTTGTCCCCCTTGCTAAAAAGGCCAATTAAAAAAAAAAGTATTCCAGTGATCATGGTTGAGATTAAATTCACCTGGGAAAACACATGCATATTTTTAAGTTTTTTAAAAGGCTAAAGAAAAACAAGGAGGTGAAAAAGTGATGACATGGTCAATGTGAAAGGAAGATTAAGGTTTTTTTCTGAAAACTTTATGTCGATGAATCTGGGGCAAGAGTCAACAGTAGCAAGGCTATTGCCAGGGCCAGGCCAGAACAAAGAGGGGAGTGTGATACTGAAGAGAAATAAGAAGGGCTGCTCCTTTTCTGTATGTAATGTAAATGTCTTGTAACAACCAGGTTCAGTGTTCAGAAGACCAGCCCTCCAGCCCACTTCTCTTCATGTAGGGCATGGGGAAGGCAGCTGTCTCAGGTAGGACAGCATGGGCAGTGGACAGTCTCTGGGTGCTGGACAGTACAGAAGATGTAGTTTAGGAACACTCTGGGGAATGAAAATCAAGGGCTGGAGGCAGAGCCAAAGGGAAGGCTGCAGTGAGCAGGAGGGGAAGCAGTGGGCCAGTCAACTTGCTCCAGGCAGAAATGTACACCCCTCAAGCTCTCTCCCACATTCCCCAACCTTACCACCTTGGTCTCTGTTTCCCTGGAGATAGGTGGGGAGACTGAAAGAGCCCAGGCACATACTGGAGGGCAGCAGGAGGGCTTGGGCAGAGGATTCTGAGGAAACAACTGTTCACCTGCGTTTACCTCCTTCTGACCATGATCTATGTCTCCCTAAACAAGCTCCCCTCATTCTAAACAGCACCCACCCAGGAATTCCTTGGTGGTCCAGTGGTTTGGACTCTGAGCATTCACTGCTGGGCCCAGGTTTGCTCCCTGGTCAGGGAGCTAAGATTCACATTATTATATAATGCCATATACCAAAATAAATTCAAGATATTTTATAATATTTAAAATAAAAATAGAATTCATAGAACTGGCATGTAATTAGATATTGATCTGATTTGCGTGAAAGAGAAACAAGGAAATAAAAGTGAAAGTAACAGAAGTGAAATCAAAATAAACTGGGAAAGCTTGCAATACTTATGATAAAGGGATTATATCTTTCTCCTACTGATTTGGAGAAAATCTTTATATATTAAAGACCTCAGTAGAAAAATGGGTGAAGAACACAAATACAAATAGACAAATACTAAAATATATATGTGTAGATAAAAACATGGGAGAAAAAAGTAAAAATATCTTTCACTAGTATTAAAAAATGCAAGTTAAATAAAATTCAACTTATTGCCTACCAAATAGGTATACATATGCAAAGCAAATTATGTTAATATCTAATGCTGGTGAGGGGTAACTAAGCAGGTTCTAAACAGTTCTGTTGGAAGTATTAGGAAGGATAAGCTATGTAGAGAGCAAAGATTCATAGGTGTGGGCAAGATTTTGTACCAAGATGAACACTGTTATTTATGTTGTAAAAAATTATCAATAACCAAAAGTATCGACAATAGGGGACTGATTATGATGGATAATATGATGATATATCAGCAAGTATTAAAGTGATCTTTTCAAAAAACATTTAGCTGATGAAAGTGGTTAAGATATTTCAAAACAAGTTATAAAACAGTACAACATGATCCTAATTAGATTAAAAAATTTTATGAATGGGGTAGGGGAGGCTATATTTTAAAAACTCAACAAAAACAAAAACAAACCCTCAAAAAACATTCTATGTAGTGGGATCACAGATGAGCTTTATGATCAGGACCAAAACAACCCTCCCCCAAGAAAATGCTATGCTCCCCCCTTTTTTCCTGTGATAGAAAAGTGCCAACCATCTTAGAAAACACTGATCCTTTCTAAGCAACTCTGGTAAGAAGTTTGATGGACAACAGTTGAAGCAGATGATTCCCATTACCATTATTGATTAACCATGAACTTCAGTTATTCGTTGTTTTTCCCCCATCTAGATTTTCATCATTTTGTTGTTGTTGTTGTTGAAACAGGGAGGAAGATAAAAGATCTGAAGTGGTCCTGAAGTCCATTATTAGCAAAGGGGGTTCTAGGGCACAGGATGGTAGAGAAAGGAAACCAACGGGCAATTTAAAATTGTACAACCTCTTAAGGTGTGCTATGGGGGTCAAGCAAGGGATAACTGTGTTTAAAAAAAGAAAAGAAGGCAAGGAAAGAACTCAACCAGAGCCCTTCCCCAGCCTTACACATTCTGAAGAGAAAGGTACCTGTGAAAACCTTTTAACTGAACCAAATCATGAAACACCATCATAAAAGACAAAAGACACATTTATAACTATTTAAAATGAGAGAACACAAATGAAATAGATTAATGCTAGTGCTGAGAAGTCCCTTTAGTGTTGGGGTGGGACAGGGTCCAGAAAAAAGGAGAAAGCTTCAGGTACAAGGTCTCTGTCAGGTCTGCCTTGATGACTTGGAATTTAAACTTCTGCCATGCAGGTATCATCATCCTTAACTTGAAAACCACTGACCTACACTGCCCTGGCCATCTCGCATTGGTTACTGTACTCTAGTAAGTTTCATACACAGTGGTCCTCCATCCGTTGTAGTTCCATCATAGAAGATGCTGAAATTCTTGCTTCAGGCCTGAACCGGCCAATATCCACACTGTTCTTTTAAGAGTCATCTGCTAGTAGGATTTTTATATAAGTCATGCTCCGGAATCTGGGATGTATTTTTTTTTCTCCCCAGTTGTGTCTTACCAAATAGCAACTTGTTCTGCTATCATTTGGTTATTCCTGATAAGAAACAATTCTTGATAATAAATTTGGTCTACTGGCAGATACCATAAGCTTGTCATCACACAGGTGACAAACAATGCCAACATGACACAATCTGAAATAATGATGAAAAAAGAACCCTTAAAAGTCCAGACAGACAAATTAGTTGGTTAAATGAGAATAATTTGGTTCCAAGTCCCAGAGTAAATCCTACAGCTCTCTGGGTAAAAGTGTTAGAAGACAGAAGAAGGTGCATCAGAATTACTTGGGTCATATCCAATATTTGATTCATCTTCTGAATTGCCAAGGTATAGATGACATGAAGTGTGCCTTTGCCTAATATTAGTGGCACAACTCAATGGTCTGATTTGATGGCTGAGTAGACATATCTACTTGGCGGGAGACCCAGAGAGTCCTCACACTTACCTATTAACTAATCTATCTGAAAAGATGAGCCTAGGGAGGAGGCAGAACTACAAAGCAGTCTCCTCTGGCTCAGACAGGTCAAGACCATTAGAAGGGATAACAAAATCTCCCATCAAATCCGCACTGGAAGTATTTTTAGCAGTTTCATAGTGAACAGGGGTAGTTCCCAGGTGTGCTAGTTGGTAAAGAGCCCGCCTGCCAATGCAGGAGACCTAAGAGATGTGGGTTTGATCCCTGGGTTAGGAAGATCCCCTAGAGGAAATGGCAACCCACTCCAGCATTCTTGCCTGGAGAATCCCATGGACAGAGGAGCCTGGTGGGATATAGTCCATAGGGTCACAAAGAGTTAGACGTGACTTAGTGTGCACGCATGCACAGTGAATAACAGCAATTGCAATTCAGAATGTGACATAATCAGATATCCCATCCTTATCCATTCAAAGTAGATGAGGACTCAGATGTGGAACAGAAAAAGATAAGAAAAGAGTAGGATTCTAGCTAAAGAGGGAGGATTTCCTTAATTCCAACTATGGTTCATTTCATCCTGAATATAGCTGGCTGTAAGATGCCCTTTACTTTGCAGTGCTCTGGTTAAGATCAACTCTATCTCTATTTGGGTTAGTTCACGAAAGCCCCTAGCCCTACAGAAAAAGCAGGCTGTCGTCGTAATATGTTTGTTTGTTTGTCTGTCTGAAGAAAATGATGCTCAGAAGCCACACGGTTCTTTACATTTCCTATTGTTCTCTGGAAGACCGAAGTGCTTTCTTCTCCCCACTTTTGAAGAACGATGCAGCATTTTGTCTTTCTTCAAGGACTTTTCCACTAACATATTATTCTGTTCTTAGGAATCTACCCTTCAGAAAGTGCCAAGGGCTTTCCTGTTAGCCACTCATGCCACTAAGGAATTGTCTGCCTAAATAAAAGTATGTTATTATCTATCCTCTTTCCAGGACTTTAAACTACAGATCTCCAAAAACCACAGAGCAGTTAATTTGCCCTACTGAAACTAATTATATGTGCATTTTAAAAGCTCAATAAACAGTTGCACAGAGTCTCACAGAGCAGGGCTGGTCCTCCTGTTGACCAGACTTCTGAGGCATTTTCCCAGGCAGTCCAGTCTTGATAACTGACTCCCAGAGCCTGCTGAAATGGATTCAGAGAGCCTCACTGGAGCTGGAAATCCCTGTCAACGTATTTCTATGAACTTTATCTCTTTTGTTTATTCAGGATAGCACCAATATCCAGAAAATCAAAGAGCTGGGAAAGAAGTAGGCAGAGTAGTGGCATGTTATTGGCTCAATCTAGAGGTCTCTGGTGAAGCCGCACTGAACAGGAAACAGAATTCCTAGCATCAACCAGAAAAGTGCCTTTATCACAGCCTGCTGGCTGACCTTGATATGAGATGGTGCTACCTTTCTCAAGGTGGTCAGAACATTCTTTGCTACCCCAATGCACTTGCCCACAGGACAGTCTCTGCTCTAGTAAAGGACACTCCTCCACACCATGGGAGAAAAAGGATAAAATGCACCTCACAGAAAAATTTTAAATCCTTCTCAGCAAGTCCTGTCACAGCAAACAGTTACTTCTCAAATAAGCCATTCAGTTAGGTAGCCACTATTTTGACTCCTTCCTCCCCCACAGGAAACCCAAAGTATCCTACTCATGAAAGAAATCAGAGGGTCCTAGAATTTTTCTAGGTATCAACTGCCTACCAATACAAACTCAGAGTTCAACTTCATTCTGAAGGGCTTGTTGTCAGTCATGTCATGAAAGATTCGGTGGAAACAGGGAAGTTCGATAAAATATTCATGCTCTCTTACCATTAGCATCTTGGACTCCAGTAAGTGCTCCGACAGCTGCTGCGGTTTCCCCAGACAGGACGATCTGTCCCCCCCCTTGCAAGGTGGCCTCGGCCAGGGTGGCGACAGCATGGGCGGCAGCTTCGCTGTGGGTACAGGAACAGGAGGGGATGTGTGAGGTGAAGGAAGGAACAGCGCTGCCGCAAGCCAGACCGACTTTCACCCCGGATGCCATGTCTGAGGGCCTCCCAGCAAACAAGGGATTCCAGCGTTACTGAGACCACCAGAACAATTTTTAACTGATAACAGTAAATAGCTAGAGAAACGCCAAGTCTTTCGTACTTATACAGCTAGAGTGAGGCTTTTCTTTAAACCTGGGAAATGGGTGTTTGAGGACAGAAGGCACTCCTTCCCAGTCTCTTTTTTACCAGTATCAACTGAGTGCTTGCAAGTCACAGTGGGAGCTCTGATAAAAGGTCACAATGCAAAAGCCATTTTGGTTGCCCACCACAAGGTTTTCTTTTTCTTGATTTATAGTGTGTAAAGAGATGGCTAATACCTTTCTGTTCTACAAAGTGTTTGCTTTGCAGTGAAGGGAGGTTTACTTATTAAGTTTTGAGTCAAGGAGTTTGGGCTTATAATGATAATTTAAACTTTAAAGTGTTAATTTAGTGTTGCCTACATATACATGAGGCAAAAGGAAGGGGTGAACTTTGCAAGATACCAGTCAACCATTACTCTATATTTGAAATCATGGATGTAAATCAAGTTGTTATTATTTAATATATTTTTATGTATATTTAAAATTTTTTTGTTTTATATTGGAGTATAATTGATTTACAATGTTGTGTTAGTTTCAGGTGTACAGCAGAATGCTTTAGTTATATATACACCTCTGATAATAAAATGCATGTAGAAACTTGTAAAAATTTCGTTAAGTATAAAAGAAAAATTTAAAACATCGTGTTACTTGTCTAATGATCTTAAACACTTTAACCAGATAGTCAAGATCATATGGTATTACAGTTTTATAGCCTGCTCTTCTTACCTAACTTTGTATTTCCCCATGTAAATATATTCTTTGACATTTGTTCAAAATAATAAGAGCAAAATTGCTGATTTCCCCCACTTTCCTAGTTGCTCAGCTGTGGATGTTTTTAATTTCCAGTCTTTGTCTGACTTAGTCCAAGATATTATACATTTCAAATTTTTTACTTCCTTTATAAAAAATTGGGGGGTGGAATTAAGGTTGACCAAAAAAGTTGGACAGAATCAGAGCTTCCATACAGCCCCTTTAAAAGTCAAGATCAATCCCTATGCTAAAATGTACTTCAGATCTGATATCAACAGCCAGTCATTCCACAGTACCTGTAACATGAATTCAGAGGCAAAGTGGACCCCTGACCTGGAATTACTACTAAGGCTACTCTTTACATTTTACAAGGTAGATTTTAATTTTAGGATGCATCATAACTATTGATTAGAGATGGTAAAACAAATGATTATTTAGTGCCTAAGACCCATAACTTTGCATATTTTTCTGAGAAGCTTGTGTCAGATAATACTACCAGACAACTCAACAGTGTTCAGCTATCACTTATTAACGATAAAAATATTAAACACTCTGACCTGAGACTTCATGGAAAGCCAAAAAGTAGAGTCTTTGGAAGAGGCTTCAACTGTGTGGTACTCTGAAGAAGAAAGCTGGTATTTGAGAATTGTTTATATGGAAATAAGAGCTGTTTATAGGTCACCTCAACAACTGCTCATTCCCCACAGTTTTTTTTTTTTTAAATCACAATCTACAATAATTTTATTTCTATGACCATCAAAGGTGCTCTCCTGCCACTCTTGGATGCATGCTTCCAGTATGGGGTTTCACAGGCTCCAAGGAGGAGAACAGCTACCCAAGCCCTGACCTGGAAGCGTCCCTGTATCCAGTCACACCCATTTTATGATGTCTGAAAATCTAAATATTTGAAGTCATTTTCTTGGATACCTTTCTAAAGTATGTTATGCAAGGAGAAAAGCTGTGAACCAGCAATGACTAAGGCAACCTGGAGAGCCAGGGATGAGTGGTCTGATGGGGATAACAGGTCTACATGTTGGTGAGGTTACTTACTGCATGCCCCGTCAGGAGTCAGGGGCAAACAGTGATGGATGAATCTTTCACATGGAGCATGAAGACAATGGTGCTGCCTGTGGTCAGCAGACAATTATTTCCAAATCTACTCTAACCACTTACACTAGATTTCATGGGAAATGATCAAATGATTTGCTGCTAGAAAAAGATTACCTTTACTTAAAAGGTGAGTCAGGATCAAAATGTCACTAAGCCATCACTTCACAATTTTTTAAGTCATTTCCAAACCAGAATTTCAATGAAAAATTTTCATCAACTCCCCCCTCTACCTTTTTCCCATCAACTTTTTATCTGCAAGTGTCTCACCTTCACCTATAGGAAAAAGAGGCAGCTGCACACTCTGCCCTCCATTTCCAGGTAGGATTTCTGAACTAGGTTGTCCATCCCACATTAGTGGACAAATAAATACAAATCCATATATTAAAGCCATGCTTTGTTTTAATAATAGCTCTAATTTTAAGCCAATATTTTCATTTAAAAAACGGTAAGAGTAAATTTTTCTTTAAAAATAGGATTCACTTCCTTTTTTAAAGCCAAGCCTCTTCACTGCAAAAGAAGAGCAATTCTAACTTTCTGAGGCATTTCTCTCCCCACAGCACTGAGTCACAGCACCACACACAGTAGACATGCAGTAAAAACCATCTCCCTGTCAACAACACAGCACACATTTATAGGAGGGCAAACATCAATTCAGTCTACCCGTATTCACCATGCATCTTTATGCATAAAGACTGTACTGACGCTGCAGGACCTAGAATGTAAGTCTAGGACGACTTAATCAACAGGCTGAAACTTGAATCACTGTTCTGCAACAAGCAAACGGTGATTTCACTTCCTTTCCCATCGGCCTGTTCAGGGTGAGCAGCTTTTTTTTTTTTTTTTTTGAGTTGTGATGCTCTGCTTTTCATTTGTTCACTTTGACTCTCTATCTCCTTCCTAGAAGTACTGATTGATTTTGTATTTTGAAAATAATTAAAATTAACAAGTTTCCAGAGTATTCAATGATGATTTTTCCATAGCCCTTTTTGGTTATTGTAAAGCCAGGGTGGGCGACAGGTTGTGAGCCCAGGGCCCTCAGTCTAACTTGCTATACAAAACTGCTAACAGTATGGCTGGAAAAAAGAAGGCCTGTTCTGCACCTGTCCTGACCGCCTTTACCATTAACAGCCGAGGGAGCCCCTCTGCCTTGGGCCCCACCTGCCATTCCACGTGGCCGGCCTCTCTCTCTTTAGTCTGTGCCCACACCTGCTGCTTACAGTGCAGCAAAGGTGCGGGTGATTGTTAAGAGAACCAGGCCTGCTCCACCTGCACCCGAAAGAGATGGCTGGAACAGAGCAGCTCTATGAAATCATTGTTACCACAGGAACAAAGACCAGATTCACAGTGTATTTTTCACCAAGATGACTTCCAGCAACAAATTCTGTGGAGAGGCTGGGAATGGATCTCATCCCACAGAGAAGCAAACACCAAGGGCTTGTGTTTCAAGCCCAACCCTCCTGACATTAGACAGTGGTAGCAGCTCCTGGAATTAGGAGTCCATGACGTTCCCCTAACAGCCTGCAATGTCTAGTTGTCACTGCCAGGCCTGGTTTCTTCACCTCCAGCAGAGGCTGCAACATACCATCCCCCAGCACTCACTGGGGCCATGATTGCAAACAGATTTCAACATCTCTTTACTTCTTCATGCCACGGTGAACCATATTCTCCTTCCTTTGGAGTAAACACTGTAGCCACCTCAGCTGCCTCTGAGTTTGTTAACAAGCCCCCAGGGGAAACCATTACCCTCCCTGCCTTTGGAAAAAAGCCCTGGTCCTCACACGAAAGGGAGCCAGAAATGTGCCTCATATTTTCTAGCATATACAGGCTTCTCAGGACACTCACACTTCACTGGACCATCCAAGGTGCTGGCTCAATGACATGAAGTTCTTCTGGCCTTCAGTGGTGGCCTGTTAAGACCACATGCTACAGTGAGGGGTAACCAAACCAAAAGGAAGGAGTGTCTCACTCTGGCCATGGTTTTCAGGAAGTTTATCTGTATGTGTCTTCTCTCAAAGGTACGAGTAGGCTTGAGTCACAGTGTAAGAGACCAAATAAGACTTTCATGTTAGTGAAAAATGATACGGTTCAATGGGCTAAGAAAAAAGTTTCTGTTCCGAGTCACTCAGGGACTCACTGGTAACTGGAAGGACAAGCGTGTGTGTTTCAGCTCAATCACCATGTCCTGGCCACATTTCCTTCAAAATCCAGTCACTTCCACTCTTACTAGTGGTTTCCAAGCCTTTGACAAGTCCTATGTGGACACCTTTTCTCAAGTGGACTTCCATTTCTAATCTCTTCTTACTATAAGCAATTCTGAATAGATAAATCTTAAAATCTAAGTTAATTGATAATAAATGTAAGTCCTGAAATGCTAACTACAGGCCGGCCAGTTTGATAAGAGTTTTATATCCATCATTTCAATGAATCTTTACGATTCTACATGATGAAAACTATCCTCATTTGATGAGGCCAATGCACTGGGGTGAAATTCCTCAAGACAGTATGGCAACTAAATTGCAGAGGTAGGAGCCAAACCTGAACCAATATGACCTCAGAAATGGTCTTAGCTATCATACTATACAGCCTCATGGAAACCTGTACCTAAGCCTATCAAGGCTTTCTACCATCCATCACAGCCAATCTAAGCTTTATCTGATGTTTATATTTTGGAGGAGGCAATCCCCTCCTGAATTCCCCCTATGTTCACAGTCCACACTATACAATTGGACAGTGAATTACACTCTGACTAATATGTTTGCTAAGTGTTTTACTGAAATCAACCTCCCAATCACATTATTATTTCTTTAATGGCAGACAATATATTTTAAGAGCACTTACAATAGGTACTGTCTTTACCCCCGTTTTACACAGAGGAAAGCCTGGGCATTGAGCTCAAGTAAATTGCCCAAGTCAAACAGCTAGTAAGGGACAGAGCTAGGATTCAAACCCAGGTAATCTGGCCTCAAAGCACACCTTCCTAACCATTATTTAAAATATCTGGGTCCATTGAAAATAAAATTGTGTCAGCAATGAACAATAATAATAATATGGGGATGATTTTTTTCTGTCAACAATCAATAGAAGGAACCACATGGAAAACAATACAATTTCGTTTTGGGAACTACCTCTTACTAGACTATTTCATTCTACAGTATCCTTCCTAAATATATCTGTAGAAAAAAGGTTCAGTTTTCCCCCAATAATCCAAAACTTATTTTATTTCAAAGGCAATGATAAGCAAAGGAAACAAATTTCCTGAAAAGTCAGTAAAGTTAGCTCCTGATCAGCTAAAACACGGATTAATATCCATTAATAACAAAAAGCAGTTTCTTTGTAGAGTAAAAGGAAAATCAATCCCAAAGCTTCTTGATTTTTTTATTACATCCTTTGGTCCCTTTAAGAACACAAGGCGCACCTTGCTGTTGCTTTTGGTCTGTTAAGGATCACAGAACAGGACACAGCAAAAGGGACCCACACCCCTGACCAGCAGGTTTCAGAGTGAAGTCAGAAAGCTGAACTGGTTGCTGGGGTGGAGTGCAATGGGAATGGGGTGGGTGAGGGCTAATTACAAGACAACTTTACAATATTTTATGGGTTAAGAGTATTAAGTTCCAAATGCCACTTGTGACAGAGTGAGGTACGACGTTTCTCTTTACATCTGTATACAGGGACAGAGTCACCCTCCTCTTTTATTGCCCACCCCTGCCTCCACCTGTTGAGTGCCATGGTGACCGTAGCTCCCTGTTGCATCTCCTGAGAAGCTGCCACTGCGGCCTCTGCCAGTGATGCTACCGCCTGGGTGGCCTCTGACGCTTGCGTCGTCTGGATGGTCATCTCACCCCCCTGTAACGTGGCCCAGTTTTGTTCCACCTGAGGCAGAAAAGGACAGGCTAGTTAAAAAATCAGTCACAAGAGGATGGTGATTATGATTTCAAAAGTCATATTTCTAAAAAATTGCCATGTGCTCAGCCAAATACATACATACTATAAGGTAACATGACTTATAATGTACAGGATAGGGTTTTTAGCATGATATTTTTTGGGTTAAAAAGGGAGTATTAGAATATATATTTGAATTTGCTTACGTTTGCACAAAGAAATTCTGGAAGGACACAAAAGAGACCAATGAGAATATTTTCCTCAGTGTGTGGAAATGTGGGAATAGGTTGGATAGAAAACAGAAAGCAAGATTTTCCACTGTATCCTTTTAAATAATTTTCAAAATATCTGAGTTTTTGAATAAACCATAGTATACTTCTAAAAAACAATTCAAACTGTACCGAAGGGGATACAATGCCAGTATTCCAGACTCTGCCCAAAGGCCACTACTATCACCTGTTTCTCCATTTCTCCTGCATCTCTCTGCAGAGATAATCTCTTGATATATGAGCGTATTCAGACACACACACACACTCTGAAGAAAAACTTCCAGCATATACTACATAAACTCTTATACCCTGCTTTTGTCACAAACAATACAGCTCTGAAATGATTCTAACTTGGAACGTATCAAACTGCTTCATTCGTTCATGATTCATAATAATGGCTGCATAGCATTACATAGATACACATGATTTATTTAACCAGCCATTTTTTAATAGGCATTTAAGTAGCTTCCAATGCTTTGCCATTACAAACAGTACTGGATGATAAACTTACATACTACTTTGTATAGTTTATGTAAGTCTACTTATTCAGTAAACTCCTAGAGGTAGAATTATATATCAAAATTACTTTGTATTTTTATTTTTGAAGGAAACTGCCAAATTTAATAAATAATTTTTTTAATGTAGCAAGAACTGCTTTTCTTTCACTGGCGAGGAATTATGAAGAAACAAAACAAACAACAAAACAAAACAAAAAACCGTACTATCTGGTTATTTGGGATAGATCAAAATTTAGTTTTTTTAGATCTAGCACAGGGTTTCTCAGCCTTGGCACTACTGACATTTTAGGTTAAACAATTCTTTGTTTTGAGTTCTGTCCTGTGCATTGTAGGAAGTTTAACAGCATCCTTGGCTTCTACCCAAGGAGATACTACCAGCATCCTCCCCAGTCACGAGAACCAAAAATATCTCTAGACACCACCAAACGTCCTCTCTGACTGGCACAGGGGTGCCCCTGGTTGACAACGACTGATTTCAGTATAATGCTTTACATTAAGAGATTCCATCCCCCCACCCCCGCCCCCCAGTTCTGGATACCTGAATCTAGCTACTTCAGTCCATTTTGTTCAATAAATACTGTTGAGTATCTCTCCCATCCCCCCAACCAAAACCCAAAAAGCAGCAGGGGCAATGAAAGCCATTTCAGTTCTAAAATATGGCAGGTGATAAGTCAAGCAGTTCAGGTATAATGTTTCTACAGATTCAGGTCTTAGGATGCTAGCTGTTCTTACTGGAGCTCCCACTGGGGTCCAGTGCTGGTTCACTTGTGCCTGTACATTACTGTGTCCCAAAGAAAGTACCACAAGCTCTAAGAGAATAGATCCTTAAAATGCCTTCCTCTTTGGTTCTATTGCTATACTTTGATTATCACAGTGCTTCTTCAAATGTTTGTCAAAGGCCCCCCCAGAGAATGAGACACCACTCTGAGCTACCTTAATATGTGCCCTAAGTTCTTACGGGCAGTGGGTTGTGGCTGCAAGCCTTCAGTGCTCTAACAGCCAGAGACATCCTACTTCCTTCATTTAAAGCTGCAAAGGTACCCACTCAGGAATTCACAAAACTCTTGCTTCTTAAGGTATTACTGCTTTGGTCTTATTACTCCAACGAGCATCACAGAAAACAACATCATTTGAGATAACGAATTACACTGCCAATTTCTAGATGGCCGATGATTCTATTCTGAAAATCAGCTGAAGCTGGCCAGCCCTGTAGCATTTCCTCTTTCCAGATCTGCCCCAACTATACTTCTGCCCACCCCACTGCAGAGTGTGGCCCCGTGTAGTTCTCCCAAGTACTCACGCTCAACTCACAGCAGCAACTTCATATACATGCATTTAGTTACAGCTATTATTTATAGTGGAAATGGTATTAGAATGTTGCCATATACAGTATACATTAAGGAAGTTGAATTTATGGCACAGAAGATTAATGGACTGTGGTAAAGGGTGGAGAAGTGGGAAGAAGAAGTAGATGAAGAGATTTCAGAGTAATGACAGGCAATACATCAATCAGCTTAGGTGTTAAGTTTCTCTGGAATTTCCTATTCTTGAGTCTCAGTGCTCTGGTTGTGCTTGCCTGGGCTCTTGCTGCACTCCCTTGCCATCTTTAGGGAGCCACTCTATGGTTATCTATGCCTGGGTGTCACCATGTCCCAGAGAAAGGGCCACACACTTCAGAAGGGAAAGATATTCAGAGGACGTATGGTCAGCTTCTGTGCTTTTCTGAGACAGAGCCCCTACAGTGAGGCCTTTCAAACTGTGGCGGCCTTTTCACTCTGGCCACCACGAACCACCTGTGGCTCTTCCCACTTTCACACTGTGACGTGCTGCGTGTGCTGCTCCCTTTGATAGGAACACAACTCCCGTCCTTCCTGCCATTGCTTCCTATTCACCCCTCTGAGATCAGGTGAGATGAGAGTTGGGACAGCTCCCTTGAAGACAACTCCCTATAGCCCAAGGCTCAGGACCTCTCCTCTTGTGTCCCACCACACCCTGGGCTGGCTTCTACTAGATCCTTATCTCATTGCCATTTTCTCTGATGTGTTTTCCTCTACCAGCTACCTGTGGGCTCTTTAAGAGCAAGGAAGGCTCCAACTAATAAAAAATAAATGGGGGAAAAATGATAAGTAAACGGATTCTTAAAGAGAAAAATAAAGTAAGAGCAAGGAAGGTCTTTATTTTCCTCTACTTCTAACATATATAGTGCCTGGCACAGGCACTCAAAAAGCATTTACTTCACGGCCAGATGAAGAACATGTTCCATTATTCACATTTCCCTGCTTGTTCTTCAGTGTGCTCATATTTCAAATAAATTGATCTTCATAAAAAGCCCACCTAAAATAAGCTATGCCACTTCAGAACTGTTAACATGTGTTGATGGTTCAGTTTAAAGTTCATGTCTCTAATGCATCCATATTTCAGTTCTTCTGCTGCTTCTTTAACGGAATCATGTGTACCACTATTATCAGATATCATAGTGATGAAACTAATTGGATGTTGAATGCAGTATGATTTAATGTAAGACCTTTCACTGGCAAGCAAGGATAACAAAATGACCTTACAACTTCTAAAAGTATAAATACTGTTTATTTCTCTAAAGTACTTTCTGTTCCTGGGAAGAAACTATGCTAAATACAGGCAGTAGGATGTTTCTCCTGAGTCATCTGATACAATGCTTTGTTGGCTTGATGTGGTCTTACCTTTCCAAGCCAGTGAGATAGTCTGACTAATCACAGCACTCATGGCTCAAAATTAAGATGCCTAACAACCATGTCAATATCTAAGAGAAATCAGAAAGCAAATAGAAGCTAACTATAAAATCTAAAACATTTTGCCACTTTCTGAGACAACGTATGCTTCTTTTCTTCATAACTTTTTTGTTTTATTGGAAATACAGGAAGGATTTGAATTTTTAAAATCTGACTGAATTTGGATATTTACCAACAGGTTATTTGTGTATGTCATTCACATACTTCCATATAAATGACTTAAAATGATGTTAGTCTGCTAGAAAAGCCACAGATACGTGACTAAGATGTTTTTTCCCTTCATATTTTCCATGAACTTTTGAAAACGTTGATTATGTGAAGTCATTTTGTAAAACAGGTTTCAAAAAATTCATCTCTAGAGAAGTGTTTTTTTTTTTTTTACAGTGACTAACACACAAAATAGGTACTGTTTTATTAACACTTAAAAACCAAATTATAATAGGCAGAGCTTTTAATGATTGTTGAATTAAAATTACAATAGGCAGAGCTTTTAATGGAGCTACATATTGAACACTGCAGATTAGACAGAAGTTCTGGAATTGGAAGTAAAACCCATTATTGAACAGAAGGCCTTGGTTGCTGACAGAATCTCGACCTAAGACAAACCTAAGGGAGTCAGTAATGAAGTCCAGGATAGGTAAACGCGAGCAGATATCGCAGATGCCAACCATTAGATGGTTTTCCCACGCAGGGTAGAGAAGTGTTTAAGAAGCTCAAATAGTACCCAGGAAATGTTCAGTAGGGAGATATGGTAAATAACTTCAAAAAGTAACCAATCCCATAAATGTACCAACCTTTGTCTTTGCTACCTCCTTCACACTTCAGGGAGTGTCTGTCCTCTAGTCTCAGTGTCTGGGGACTGACAACTTTCCCCCTCAGCTAGTCCATTCTCTTTGATGATGACTACACACTTTGATAAGTCAATCTCCTGTTGACTTTTACCTTTCTGTACTGGAAAACCAAAGGCCAGCTCCTGCCCCAAATCCTCCCAGTCTCGGTTACCAGAAACACTCGATCCTGAAGGTACCACTCTGCAGCATCTCTTATAGCAAGGACCACAGTTCATTCACACGGGCCCTCTCTGAGAGCACGGTTCCTGTGTAATTCAGCTCCATACATCTAACACCTGAAATGCAGCATGGCAGGGGCTCACCACACGCTGGCTGGCAGGAGCCTGCTGTGATTCTCTTCACCTCACTAGCCATGAAATGCAGCAGTTCTCTACCTTTCCTGAGATGCACAAATGATAGTGATTTTGTGATGTTCTCAGTGGAAACAATCTATGGTTTTGAACAAAGGGGAGATAATATTTTTAGTTTCATTTCTGATATGGTTCTTTGACATCTGCTGGCTAGTTTTCAAACTTCAGAGTACAACCTTTAGGGGAAAAGCCCATAGTGACTTAACAAACCCTTTCCTGAACTTCATTGATGGCTCAGAGCTTAGACAACATTTTTCTAAATGTGTTACCCAGCTTCAACACTTAAGTTACTCTGTACCTTTGGACAAGTCACCTAACCTTTCCCCTTTTACCATGTAAAAAGCGAAGATGATAACAGAACCTATACTTCCTAGAGGTGAGAAGTGCTTAGTTTACTAAGTGCTCAATAAAGGTTACTACCTTTAAGTTTATATCCCATAATTAGCTCACTTTTGATATGGAAGATTTTTCTTGCTTTTTTTGGTTTCTTTGGGGGTTTTCTTGACTGTGTCACACAGCTTGTGGGATATTACTTCTTCAACCAGGGGCTGAACTTGGGCCATGCAGTGAAAGTGCTGAGTCCTAACCACTGGACTGCCCGGGAATTCCCAAGGAAAGATTTTCTCATGAAGTATTTTTAAAGGCTCATTTACAATACAATAAATCATGTCTACTGATTTACAAATATATATATGTATATATATCCCTTCAAAGAATGTTTTAGTCAACTTGTTTTAATAATCTAATTTTTTAAAATAAAGTCTAAAGATTAAATTCTTTGGGATTCACAGCATAAAAGCATTTAATGGATATAAAATGCTATGCTGCAAATGTAAAATTTTAAGTTCCTGACAGTTATGTCTGAGTCATAAAGATCCATTAATTTCAATTGTTATACACAGAGTATGCTATTTGCAAAACTGGCATGGAATGATATTTTTAGGTTTAGATAAGACAATGCTATAGATGTCTAGGCTACTTACAGTATCTTCGCATTCTGGCCCCTACCTTCTCCTCCATCTATATTTTCAAGCATCAAGTGAAAACAGACTGAATCCTCTTTCTTACCTCTCCATCAGCCACTGCCGAATAATTCACTTGGGCAACAGTGACTGTGGTTGGCAATTCTGAAGCATCAGCCAATGTGGCTACTGTTGCCCCTGTACCAACCTAAACAAAAACAGTGAAGTGTCAATGAATGGGTTCTTCAACCTCTCCTTTGCTCAGAAGTGAAGACTCATTCAATCCCAAACTCAGTAGAGGTAATGATTAATATGCACTGAAATACGAAATCAATGACTAAAATAATACATCAGACACTAACATGAGCTTCAGAGTTTTACTTCAACCAAATAAATCAATATTAGAAGCCATCATGTTTCATCATTGGTGCCTTATGTCAGCTAACCAACTTTCTCTTCTCACCTCAATTTGAATTTTAGACGTTCCCTATCTACCAACAAATTGTGTTTTACCTCAGAAGAGGTAATTCAGAAGGACTGCTTCCTGGCCACTAACAGAGTAAAATAACAAAAAATTAAAACCTTTTTTTCTTTTAACAGAGCTTTGATTTGGAAATATACAGAAAAGCTACCTATAGCTCTGTATTTAGCAAAATACAAGCAACTTAAAATATTATTTAAAAAATCAAGTTCAGGTAGGGAAGATCTTAGGGAGCTGTATAAAGTTCATATAAAAATTTATGTAAATAAAATTCTCTAGTCTGATCTGCTTCAGAAACCACAATCTGATTTACTCACCATAAGGTTTACTCACCTGGATAAGCGAGACAGTGCCATCAGGGTTACTAAAAGTCTGGACTACGGTCTGTGATGGTACCAGGTGGGCTATACTGTGTGTGGTTGTGGCCTGTGTTTGTGTTTGTTGATCTTCAAAAGCATACAAAAGGTCCTCCCGCCCATGCTGTTTATAACAGTTTTTAACTATGGTCCGTAGTGCTTGGGTCCATGAAACCTGTCATCAAAAGACCAGAAAAGCACATAAAGTCACAAAGAATGCTGGTTATTTAGTTCCACTGGTTAGTTTCAGTTGGTTAGTTACCAAACAAATCAAATCAAACTGGGATGGAGTAACTCTCTTCAGGATTACTTCTCACAGACCCATGTGAACATGAGGAAATTCAGCACCAAGGACCAGAGATTTCACACTGGTTTCCTGCCTGATCAAGGTCTGGATTAGCTTTTGGGTTTTATACCCTACTCTAACCTGAGGGAATGGGGAAACAGTGTCAGACTTTATTTTTTGGGGCTCCAAAATCACTGCAGATGGTGACTGCAGCCATGAAATTAAAAGACACTTACTCCCTGGAAGGAAGTTATGACCAACCTAGATAGGATATTAAAAAGCAGAGACATTACTTTGCCAACAAAGGTCCGTCTAGTCAAGGCTATGGTTTTTCCAGTGGTCATGTATGGATGTGAGAGTTGGACTGTGAAGAAAGCTGAGCGCTGAAAAATTGATGCTTTTGAACTGTGGTGTTGGAGAAGACTCTTGAGAGTCCCTTGGACTGCAAGGAGATCCAACCAGTCCATCCTAAAGGAGTTCAGTCCTGGGTGTTCATTGGAAGGACTGACGCTGAAGCTGAAACTCCAATACTTTGGCCACCACATGCAAAGAGTTGACTCATTTGAAAAGACCCTGATGCTGGGAGGGATCGGGGGTAGGAGGAGAAGGGGACGACAGAGGATGAGATGGCTGGATGGCATCACCGACTCGATGGACATGAGTTTAAGTAAACTCAGGGAGTTGGTGATGGACAGGGAGGCCTGGCGTGCTGCACAACTGAACTGAAAGAGACACGACTGAGCAACTGAACTGAACTGAACCTGAGGTCAACTCGTAAACCTCTCATAAAAGAAGGTTACTCTTTTGTCAAGAATTTTATTTAAGATTCTTAGTAAATTTTAAAAGCTAACCAAAAAACAAATATGCAGAACAAGTAAGGGAGGATACCTGGTTTTAGTCTTTCTTCTTTTTTAAAATGTTTCATTATCAGCAGACTTGACTAGTTTCACATCTCTCTCTATATATTTTCAACACTGATTCTTGCTAACCAGAAATAAGGACATTTCTGAGTCTTCAAAGTGATTAATGGGGCTTTCCAGGTAGCACTAGTGGCAAAGAAGCTGCCTGTCAAAGCAGGAGACTTAAGAGACATGGGTTCGATCCCTGGGTCAGGGAGATCCCCTGGAGGAGGGCATGGCAACCCACTCCAGTATTCTTGCCTGGAGAAACCCATGGGCAGAGGAGACTGGAGGGCTCCATCCATAAGGTCACAAAGAGTTGGACACAACTGAAGCGACTTAATATGCAAAGTGATTAATATTTTTACTTCAAGTTTCTTTAGTTTTCCAAGCACCTTATAAAATTACAATAGTCCAAAAGGCAACTGCAGAGAGAAATATAAATTCACAGACCTATCCTAAGTCTTTATGGTGATGGGCTGATAAATGGGAATTAGTGGATATCAAACTTCTTTTCGAGGATGGGTTTGGCTACTACACACGCTTTTAGACTTTTTATAGCCTAAGAAGCAGAACAACAAAAACGAGCTGTTTGGTTCAGAATAAAAAAGCAGCAGGAAACTCAGGCTGGAGAGGCCTCACCCTCTGCTTCTGCTCCTCTGTGCGGACGTCACTCCTAACGTTTGCCCACGGGATATCCTCAGGCCACCAGATGGGCTTGCAGCTTTCTTTGCCCCAGCCTGGTTTCCCCCGACCTGTAGAGTACTTCAGCATCTCTGGGATAAATGCCCGAAGCTGGGCCTGGAAAACAAGAGCACAGTCATCAGCAGTCATGAAAGACATCTGGGATATGTTTGTGTCTCCCAACAAATTTTAAGATTATAAAATAAAGAGCCTTTCTAGAGGGTCCTAGAGAGTTCCAAAATGTGATGTTAGAACTGACTGCTTCCCATAGGTTACTAGAGCTCCATGGGTGATGGAGAATTATATGTACATTGATAAAGTGCACCTTAAGCTGCATGTCATACACTTGTTCCTATAAGATCAAGAATACCTAGCCCCTAAGGTTTGACTTCCACCTCCTAAGGTTCTATTGATGCTATAGCTCATCTCCCTTCTAGAACATCTATGCATATAAGGTGTCAAACAAAATCAACATGTTTTCAGAAAAAAAAAAAAATGTGTTTTTCTTGAGATAGTAATCAGAACAATAAGATGAGAGAAATAAGAAGTGAGAAACAAATGAAAATCACTATTATTTGTAAATAGTATGATTGTGTATCTGGAAATCCCTAGAGAATAAAATGAAAACCCACCATAAACAATAAGAGAATTCAGTAACATGACTGAATATATGAAAATATATGAAAGTAAATGGGATTTATTTAATAAAAAGGGAAAATAACTCTAAAACTCTTCTAAAAAAGTTTTTAGTAAATTAGTCTAATGTCTATGAATTTGACATAATTGCGAACAATGATTTTTGGCAAGAGAATAAGTTTATCAAGTTATAGTCTTCCCCCTCAGACCTACTGCTTTCCTTTGAACCTGATGGTCTACAGTACTCCAGACATAAGCAACATCCTCCATCTAAGGACACACTTATATTGCCTCTTATGACCAAAATGAGAACAACTTTAGCATGAGTCAGACCCAAGAACGTGGACTTGTAGCTTATAGAGAAAGAAAAAAATCAGAAATGGGAATACTTAAGTATTAATGAGAGAATGAGTAGAGCAACCCTTGTATTGAAGAACCTACTTAAATATCAAGCTTTCTCATTTAAATATTATTTAATTGAAAGATGATAGAAATTAGCAGATAATATGGAATCACAAACCCAAGTCAGTAACGTTCACCTAATAAAAAGTTTTGGTTGACAGCATTTACATTGCTAATTCGTGTCCCAAGCCTGCTATTTCACCTCTCTTTCTAAGCCCTCCCTCGTCTCCCAGACAGTCTCCTGACTGCAGGATATGATATAATACACTCTGTTATATATTTGGCTCTGTGGCATCAAGCAGCAGGCTAATAGAAATGTATCCATTTGCAAACCCAGGCTATCAGCTGGCTCATGAGGTCACTTCTTCAGTTATTTTAAGAAAGTGCATCTCAAAGTCGTTTTTCCCTTTATCCTAGCTTCCTGGGAGTGTGTCTTTTTCTAGCCTCAGTTATATAGAGAAGGAAAAGGTTCAATCCTCACAATATTTACATTCCATCATATGAAGAAACAATAGCTTTCTCAGATGCATAAACAAAGTAAACTCATATCACAGATTTTTACATCTCTCCTTTCTTTTAACTCCATTAACAGTCTCCAAGTCTCCAAAAGGAGAGTTCTTCATATCCATAGAATGAGGAGATAATGAAACAAGAAGGCTAAATATCTCTAAATTAACAAAAAAATGAAAGTTTTCTTAAAAGTCTGAAATGATGTTTTATTTGCTAGAATTTCTAGATGGGAAATATTTCAAAGCCCGAGGAAGAAGACATAGTAGAGGCTAATGAGAGGCAGCAGAAACAGAAGCAGCACAAAGGAAAGGAGACTTCCACAGACAAAAAAATCCCAGTAAGTTAAAAAAATGGACCCAGAGTGAAATTAACAAATTTCAATATAGAGTCAGATCTTAACTTTTTATTTTTTTATTTTATTTTATTTTTAGATCTTAACTTTTTAAAGTACTATCAACTGTACAAAATTTGCTTCTATATAAAAATAAAAGGCAAAAAGCACTTTTTACCAGAAAAGTTAACTTTTCAAGTATGTACAGTTTAGGGATGAAGGACAATTTTTGCTTTGAAGTGCACAGAGATAACGTGATAAAGGCAATTTTCCACCGCACTATTTTTATACTGTTCCAAATAACGAGTGCTCACAAAGGTATATTAATAAAGGGAAATGAGCTATCTAGTATAGAAAGAGTTAAATTATTTCTTTCTAGAATTCAACACTGTACTCTCATTACCAGTTGGATTAATTACTGGTCCTGGAGAGTTTTGGAAACCCGAGCTACTCAATGCGCTTGTTAAGGAAGGTCTGTCTTTAATCCGCAGGGGAGACAATCAACAGGATGAGCAAAGGTAAAGCTTATCCTCTCCGGCTGTCCTTTAATTGGGCCGCAACAAGCTTTCCTGGCCTCTCATTCCGATTTAGGGCTCAAGACGGGCTTCAAGTGTCCAGTTTGGTAAGTAAGCCCACCTCAAATCAGCAGAGAGTAGAAAACACCACTCCTCCCAGGGCACATTCAGCAAAGAAAAAATATGTTAAATTTGTGCCAGTGGCAATCAAAAATAAAGATTATACGGAAACCATAGATAGTTTTTAAAAAGAAGATTTTTCTAACTTTTAAAGTTTTAATCTGGCCAAAATGAAACAATACTTCTTCTTATGCTATAAATTTTCCATTTGTAAATTCAGCCACTTCTTTGTGGGCCAACAATACATTACCCTTATATATTTCCAAATACTCTTCTTATTCCCTCTCTCTTTGCTCTGCATGTACCTGAGATAAGGAATTTTGAGGCTTCAGATGTCCACTTAGGTTCAGTTACCAAGAAAAGGCCTTTCAAAATAAAACGTTTGCCAATCCCATATCTACTGAAGAGAGTGGAGAATATGCAACAGATTTAGAGATAACAGCTAAAATCAAGCCACATTAAAAGATGATGTTTTCTACATCCCACAGGAAAACAGCAACGGAGCAGAGAAGGAAAACCAAAGAACTTTCAGCCTGTGGCTTCATTATTTTAATTTAAAATTATGAACTTACAGTTGACAGTCCCTATCATACTCTGATGGATATTTAAAGGGTATTATAAAATAAAAGCAAAATTATTTTTTTGCTCGTTACTGGGAATTATTTGTACTCCTGACCTCTGTTCATAGAGGTAATGAAAGTGGCTTTCCTTACTAGAAACACCAATACTATGTCCCCACATTCCCCAGGAGGGCCAGCAGAAACACTGATTTCTCTTAATCTCATTTTCCCATAAAACACACTTCATTGGAAACACAGGAAGAACAAGTTTGGAAGAAAAGATAAAATCACAGAATTCAAGGGACAGCCAATGAAGACATTCCTCTCTCAAGCCAACACTTCTGCCTCTGTCCCCATACACCATCAATCCATTACCTCATCTCCCTCCCATTAATCAAAACGTTCTTAAAATTCTACCTTCTCTTTGAAGGAGTCTTAAGACTGGTTAGTTTCTGCTACCTTATCCTAACTGTGCTCTTCTGTACAAAAATCTAAATAACACAGATAAGGTCAAAGCCCTCTTCTTGATCCACCCTTCCCTTATCTAGTTACCTGTCCAGAGACATTAATTTAATGAACATCCTTTCTTACAGGTCAAATTCTATGAATCTGCACACATATATGCTGGGAATGGGGCTTCCCTGGTGGCTCAGATGGTAAAGTGTCTGCCTGCAGTGTGGGAGACCCAGGTTCGATTCCTGGGTTGGGAAGATCCCCTGGAGAAGGAAATGGCAACTCACTCCAGTACTCTTGCCTGGAAAACTCCAAGGACTGAGGAGCCTGGTAGGCTACAGTCCATGGGGTCGCAAAGAGTCGGGCACGACTGAGCGACTTCACTTCACATGCTGGAAAAGCACAGTTTTATGTGATGAAAGAAAACACATATATTTACATATTTTAGTATAATTCACTTTTTCTACTCAACATTTTGCCATAGAGATCTGCTCATGGTGGTACGAGAATAATCTCATTTTCAAAAACAGTAGTTGCCTAGTATCCACAGTACAGATTTTTCCAATTTATTTAACCATTCTCCTATTGACAAACATTTAGGTTGTTTACAGGGCCTGGACAGGCTTCTTTAAGCACATCTGTGAGTATTTCTCTAGTAGAAAAGAATTGCTGGTTAAAGGGTATATGCATTTAACATTTTCATAAATACTGCATAACCAGAAGATTTTGTCAATCTTATTCCCACCAAAGGTGGAGAACAAAACCCATTATTTCAAAACCTCCCTTTGCTTTTCACATTTTTTCTTTGTTTTGCTTCCAAAAGGGAAGAAGAGCATAGCTCCAGCACCTGTGCACTGTCCACAGCCGCTGGGCCAGGACAGGTCCTGGCTCTTGCTTGCCAGCTGCCTTGAGAGTGTGGGGTGCACGGGGGCTTCACATGTGGCCTCCTGAGCTGCCTTCACATTTTCTAACTATTCTTTCTTATTTTGGCTCATTGGATGTGGGAGAAAGGATTTATTTTAATTATCATTACTAGTGAGGCTGAGATTTATATGTGTACTGATTATTTTTCTTTACAATTCATAAGACTTTATTTTTCTAATTATCTTTTCACTAATTTGAATATGGAATATAAATGCATGTTCCCTTCCCTTAGTATTCCTGAATAAAACCTGAATTATTTTACTCAATTCAAAACAGGCTGTGCTCTATTTAAGAACACAGCCAATGTTTTTGCTATTTTTCTTTTCTCTTGATCGCATCCTGCCTACCTAACATTTACAAAATGTGGAATGGCATCAGACACATCAGTACTTTTTGATCATTTCAGACAGTAAGAGAAGCCTACTCTGCACACAGATTCTGACATGACAGTAGGAGAAGCAGTTCGGACCTGTGATCCATAACAGTGGTTCTCAAAGTTGACTGCACAAGGAACTGCCTGGGGAGTTTAAACACTGCAGAAGCCTAAATCTCATCCCCAAATATTCTGGTCTAATTGGCCTAGAGCATGACCTGGGCACTAGGATTTTAAGTTCCCCTGGTGGTTCTACTGTGCAGCCCAGTTTAAGGACCACTGAACTGATGACT